GGAAAGGGCAAAGGTGGCAAGGGCACCTTTGGCCCAGTCTCCTGGACATGGTCTCAACCTTGGAAGGTGGCACTTGCTGAGTGCCAAGTTGGGACCAAGGACGGCCCAACTACTGGTGCCCCTGTCTTGGCTGCAAGGGACAGAAAAAGAGGTTCAACGAATACGCCCTTACACAGCACCTGTGGTCCAAGCGAGACGAGCCAGGCCACCCGAGTACTTCCCAGTTTGAGGCCTGGGACAAGGAAGGCAAGCAGGGCAACTATGTGAGACCGGTATGCCCAGCATGGTTGGCCAGTGGGCACACATAGTTGGGGCAGAACCTACGTTCCTGAGGAGCCAGACTACTCCAAGCACGTGGAGGTCAGGTGACGACCTCGAAGGTGAAGAAAGTGAGGAAGAGACTCTATAGGTTGAAGAAGCAGACGAGGAGGAGCAGTGCAGCCCGCCGGCTAAGAGAGCTCGGAAAGAGGCCGCAGCAAGGATAGGAAGGGCACCCCTGCCCCGAGGGGAGCGTGACCTCACACAGGTACGGCTCCTCAAAGAGCGGTCCTCTTCTACCTCCCTTCAGTCAGGAGACGGAAGGAGCCCCTGCGTGCAGCAACACCGGCACCCACGCGCAGCCCGAAACCGCTCTACTTGCCACCATTCAAGACGACAAGGCCGGCCGAACCTGAAGGCTCTCCGCCTAGGGCCCGTGGCAGTTTGAGGCCTCCTGAGCCTGAGCAGCCGCCTCAGGAACGTAGGGGACGCTCGCGCTCCCCTATACAGAGACGGCCCGTGGTCAAGACAAAGACCAAAGGAGCAAAGTACGTTCCTCCACATAGGAGGACCGAGGCCCAGGAGACAAAGGAGCCGGAGCCCTCGACCGAGAAGTACGTGCCCCCGCACCGTAGGACCTAAGGAAGCCACAAAGTCGGAACCCTCAACATACCGCCGCACGAGAGCCAGGCAGGAGGTCCCAGCCTACGCCGTCACAAACGCGGCTCGGTCCGTCCTTTTGGGCGAGATGCTCCAGTCTCGTGTGAGCAGGCGCGAAGACCTGCAGAAGGCCTCGACAATATGACAGCTGACGACCCGGCGCGTGAGAACACAGAGGCTGAGCTTCAAGAGCTGGGCGCTGTCATTAAGAGCCTCAAGGAAGAGCAGACGGCCACGCGACGGGGCACAAAGGTTGGGCACAGCAGCCGACAGGAGCGGGACAAGCCGGAGATGGGAGGCCGCCTGGCCTACATCAAGGAAAGGTCCCGCACCGTCTGAGCACACAGCAAGAAAGGACGGAGAAGAACCTGCGCACTCAGCTCACCTGGGCGCGCCGCTTTGACCAGCCAGGGGCCGGAAAGAAAGAGAAGGTCTTTTCCTTGGCCAAAAAGGAGCTGAAAGACGAGAAGGCAGCTGCACCTCTCTCCAGACACGCCCGCAGTGCGTTGTTGGAAGAAGACGCACAGGAGGAGTTGCCCGAGCCAAAGGCTCGAACGAGAGAGCTGCCCCCGTCCGAGGCAAAGGTTACGGCGGTCAAAAAGGCGAAGAAGCGCCGCAAAGAGCGAAAGAGAGAGAAGAGGAGGAAGGCAGAGAAAGCTGAGAAAACAAGAGGGAGGCCCCCGGTGGGCAGCCTCTCTGCCTTCGGTGGCAACACCGAGACCGGCTCGAGAGGAGCCACCGACAAGTACCCTGGGTGGACTCGGGTCAACTTTGTGGTCGACTCGGGCGCCAGTGCCACGACTCCCGCGCAAGCTCCTGGGAGAGAGCTCGAAGCTGAAGGAGCCGGTTGGGTACCGCAGCTTCCGACTTGCTGACGGCAGCGTGGTTGCCAACGAGGGCACGCTTGAAGCCAAAGCCTGGCTGCTGGGAGACGAGGTCCTTGAGTTGAGGGCCTCGGTCGCTGCGATCTCTCAGCCACTCTTGTCCGTGGGCCAAGTCACCTCCCGAGGGAACAAGGTGATTTTGGGCCCGAAGGTGTGCTACCTTGAGACAACTGCGGGGAAGAAGCGCCGGATCTTCCTCAAGCACGGTGTCTACATCCTCCCGGTCTGGATGGACACCAACAACCGACTTTTCGAGCTTGCTCCACACCCTTTCGAGGGGCGGAGCAATGCTCGCCTGTAAGACCGCCGAAC